CCACTAGCAATAAAAGCATAAAAACCTGTACTGTAGTCTTAGGCTGGGAACCTCTGTTATGTATCTCTGGAAAATAGACTTTTACACCTAATTATCACAGAAGGTGTTGCCTACTCGTGTGTTCCTTGCTGCCTGGTTATTGCTTGTGCTCAGTATCTCCCTCATTAGTTTTAGCCCTCCACACTGTGCCTCACTAATCAGAGCTAAGAAACATGCATTGGTAATCCTTTTCCTCCTCAGGACTCTCCCAGTTAAAGCTGTATGGGTGTCTGAGAACAGGAAGAGTCTGTATTTTAAAAACAAGGTCTCAATCTTTTAGATCCTCATGCAGAAGAAGCTAAAGCTAGGAAAATTACATAATTAGTCCATCTGTGACCTATTCATTTCCTCTTTCCCACTGCTAAAGCCAGTGCACTTACATCTTTGGCAGCACAATAAATTTCCAACATTTTTGCAAATGGTTTCCCTCCTCCAGGGATTTTCCTTTGCACTTGGTACTATGCAACCCTAAGCACCTCTCCCTAAATTACACTGTCTCCATTTGAGGCATTCCCACACAGCATAGAGCAGCTGTGACGGGCTGTGCCTTGGGTGAGTGTACTGAGGTGAATTAAAAGGTGGGAGGATGACATTGCATTTGCTCTTTCTGCTCACCACTGGCTGCCTTGTGAATAGCACACTCATGTTGTTTGCCTACTTGCAGAAAAGAAGGGACTTTTCTGAATGCCTACCATGTACCATGCACACAAACAGACCCCGTGGGATTTGGCAGACAGGAGCAAGTGATGACAGGTTGTCATCAAATTATTCCTTTATAATTTATACCAACAAGGATCATCCAAATGTGTTGGAAGGATAATACGAGAAATATAAAATGCAATTTAGACAAGATTTTCATTAAAAGTACCGAAGTTTGCTAATTCTAATGCCCAATCATAACCTCTGGTAATTTTTTCTTATTATTGGTCGCATCTCAGCTTAGTGGTCATGAAAGAAAAGCAGCCTTGGCCAGTGACTCATGTGGAAGGATATTGTGAGCACAGCATGTGTCAATAAAGCAATGGGTTCTGCTGTGATATTTGTTTATGATATAACTGGACATCCCATCTAGTCAAGAAAACCCAGCTCTGGATGAAGCTGAAAGAATACATGGGGAATGAGATAAAGCTTATCAGGACCATGTGTACCTACAGCTTGTTGAATAAAGGGAACCCAAAACCAGCTCAGGATACTTTGATTTTCATTCAGAGCCTGACCTTTCTGTCTGATGTAGGTCCCAGACTACAAGTGGAAAATTTACTGGGGCACACTGAAAACATCTTTCTGTGTTTCTGAGCAGGTTTGTTCCAGTTAAGATTCCTTCCAATTTTCATACACAGTGTAAGATGTTCCAGAGTGAAAGCTTTTCACTCGGAATAGAATCTACACAAAAGAACAATGTTTGGAGCAGAAGCAGTTTATCAGGAAGTAACAACTTGCATTGCAAGTGCTTCCCAGAAAGATTATCTGACAGAGGTGTTTTCCACACTTTCCTAAAACCTGTAGGTTTTTGCTCTTCTATCATGTGATGCTCTAAGAAATGAGGCTACACACGTTCATTTAATATTATAGTTCCCTTGTGATATCTTTACTTTTCTTAATGAGGGCAGTGTTGTTAACTTGTTGGGAGCCTGAGGACTGTATCAAATTAACATACCATGGTGGAGAAATTAACAGAGAGAGGAGCTCCTTGTGTGAAATGGAATGAGATCACTGATGGGCCTTACGTCAATCTTTGTTTTTGTATAACAGGCAAATGTTAACAAGGATAATATAGAATGCCATTACTCAGAACTGGGATGCCCTTGTTTTTTTCAATAACCCGAATGACCACAAGTAATTAAACCTTCACACTACTGATTACATAATAAAGCAAGCATGATACGGTGTTTAACTGTGAGAAAGAAAGGAAAGGAGTGTGGGTCTTGGTAAAATTACTGGAGAGAAACAACAATGAATAAAAGAATCTTCTGGGTTTGCATGATGACTTTTAGTTTTGCATGTGTTTACACATGACTGAATTGAAAGCCACACTGCAGTCTCAGGATAATCTATAATAATAATTATCTCAGGATAATACTGTGCTTCTGCTAACATGCAAGAAACTACAACATGACTCTTTCCATACTTCATCTTAAAGCAAAACCTGGCAAGGGTCAGAGAAAGCAACAAAGGAATGCAGGAGAGAGAAAGCCAGCAATGTATTTATGAAGGGGAGTTTCAATGGCGACAACCATACTATGTTTTTCTTTAAAATTTTGCTTTGCTAAACATAGCTGGTAAAATACACCTCTGCAGTGATTTGTGTCAGCAATACATACCACTCTTCTACAAGCACAAAAGATGCGCAGAGACGTCAGCAAACTGGGAGGGTGTGTGAAATATAGAGCCCATACAATGTTTGTAAAGATCAATTTGCTGCAGCCTTGGCCTTTTAGTGGTTGTGGCTTGTTGGTGCAATGAGAGCTCCTAAAAGGGGCTGTAAGCACTCACTGCAGAATGTCTGTTCTGCAGTGGCAATGGGGGCAAGGAGCTGCTTCCACACAACCTTCATTTGTGGTTTCACTGTGCAAAGTGGGTGAGCCATTGCTAACAGGTCCAAGGAGCTGTAAGCACAGGCATAACCAGTGCGCTGACAGCAGTAAGGATTCTTCTAAATAAAGATTATTGCCAAATATCTAATTTATTTTTTTTTAACAGCTTCCTCTCCACTTCTATGACTCCTGAATCCTGCGAATGCTGGAGGCAAAATGTCCCCTCATCCTCCTGCCTAGGTGCCATATGCAGGGGCACCTTTCCCTCCTGATGGTTGTTATTACAACAAGAGGAGTTAATGAGGGACTGAGCCGTTCCACAGAAACCTGCTAATTAACTTTAGGACACACCTGGTTGTATCTTGTAGTGGTAAACAATTTGATCAAAAGATACCCATGATCAGCAGAACAAGTTCCCTTCCTCTCTTGCTCTAGGCATACAGGCTGTGCAATGTCTCTGATTACAGTAAAGAAGGCCTGACTGGCAGCATTTTTGTACCAATGTAGTCATGGTTTAGTTTTGGAAATCACTTGGTGGCAGCCCGAGCTTGGGTTGGCTTTGGCAAGGGGAGCATGTGGGCATCGGTTCCCAGAGGGCACTGCCATCTGCTGCTGGTGGCACTGGGGAACTTCACTGCTGTTTGCCAACAAATGGCTATGAAGCACTTGTGGTCAAACCTTGCTTGCTTAAAGATAGCTCACAGTCATGGGCCAGATGGACTTGTCTTGTTGCTTACAGTTCAAAAGACAGAACATACAAATACAAATATAAAGACTTAGAAGACACATCCTAAACTAACCTTAAGTTTGGGGAGTGATGCTCCTGTAGGGAGAGGTGCTAATTAGTGACACCTGCTCCAGAGCCCAGCAACAGACGGGTCTTACTGCAAATGAGTGGTTGGTCTGGAAAGACAATGCCCTGGGGAACGTGCAGGAGTTGGGCAGATTTAGCCACACCAATTGTTAATAATCTGTGGACAATGAACACAGGAGCTAAAATTTGTCAACTTATAGTACAGACAAAATGACAATAAGATGTGCTTTGGGAAAATGACTGCAAGGTTGTTTGGAGTTTTGGTTATTTGCTTGTTTTGTTTTGTTTTCTTTTCTTTCTAACAGACCCATGGTGAAGTGATACACCTCCTTCTCTTTCTTGGCAGCATTGGAAGAGAGCTGGACACAAGAATTTTCCAGGGACTGCCACAGACCCTCTATGAGATCTTAGTTGAGTTGTTGAGTCTTGCTGTACTTTATAACTCGAGGACAGTAATGTCTCAGTTCTCTGTCCTTTCTCTGTGAGTTTTCTGGCAGAAGTTAATGGCCTGCATTTTCCATCACAAGTCTTCAAGAAGTTGGGGGGAAAAAGAGCACTCTCCTCTCCAAAGCTGGAAATATTTTATTGAGAAATCTCTGGTTAAAACACAATTTTCAAGCACAATCTTGACATTTGCTAAGAAAATCAGACATTTCATACAACTATTTTTTCTTTTCCCTGGATTCTTCGTTTTCTATCAAGATTAAAAATAATCTATTATCTGTAATAACCAAGCCTAGTGGACATATTTCTGGGATGTGGGACTCCTGGATTCAAAAGAAGAGTACAGGTTAAAATAGGTTTTCTCTATTTTAGTGAATGCCCTGCACCCTCTGGTGTTGGCTGTAACAACACAGAAGTTCTTTCCTTGGCATTTCCTTTTGAGTGGCTCAGGTGGAGACTCCCTGCTCGATGGGCAGGAACATTTCCTTTCCTCTGACACTCCACTGAGCTTCCAGCTTCTCATGAGGATCCCAGGCAGATCCCTGCAGGCTGCAGGCTCTCTCAGGTGATGGAAAGCCACAAAACTGGGCCCCAGTCCTTCTGCAGAGTCAGCCCCAAAGGTTTTAAGGTGGTTTGTAAGAAAAGAACACCTCTGTAAAACACCAGCTTTTGAGGTCCTGTATTTTCTAGCAAATCCCAGTGTGGCAGTTTAGGGAAGGAAGGTGGTTGTCAAAGAAGATATCTAATTTTCTGTAGTGGGAATTGAGGATGTCTCAGAGGTGTCCTGCCAAGGCCAACAAGATTCAGAAGTCAGGGGGTTCAGGCAGCAGGGAAAATTGTGACAGAGCAGGACTATGGCAAGCAGAAGGGCTGCATAGGCCCAGGTGAGCCCCTGAAAACATGCTCAAGAACCAAGGAATAATAGAGCTCTGTCCCCATGGGTAGTCAAGCTGGCTTGAAATGAAGCTTGGGAAATTGCCACACCTCTTCATCCTTTCCTCCTTCCCTAAAACACAGATATCAAGTCCACAAGTGGATGCCTTGATTTTGTAGGATGAGTCTTCATTGAAATACTTGACATTTTGTTTCTCTGTTCATGTAATTTTTGTATTTTCAAAGAGCATTTATACTTCTCAGGTTAGTCTTCTGCTGGGTTCTCTAAGCCATTTTTAAGCAACAGTCCATATAAGTACAATACTCAGGCAAAGGCTCAGGCCCAGGCTGCTGGAGGTCAACACCACAGCCCCATCTGGGAAGTACTTATGATCAACATAGTCTATGATTGTTGTCACAGCCAACATAGTCTCCTCACATGTGGGCTGGATCTGCTCAGGAGGGAGAATAAATCCATGTTCCCCTGTGTCTCGCAGTTCAAATGTGTAGGAGAGAGGAATGCCAATCATGTGGGCCCAGTCACGTGAGGATCCTGAGTTATTGTCTGTGAATTTAAAATCAGAGGGGAGAGATTTGTATTAAGCCTGGTTCCTTGAAAATACTTCTTGCTATAGCCAATGCAAGTTTATACCAGAATCCCTGAACTAAGCAGTAACCATATATCACTGTGACATGGAGAACAGAGTTTCTAGGTGCTGCAATTCTTAGTTCTACTAAAAGTCTTCCATGGAGTTTCCTAAGCGACACAATTCTTCACAAGATGGTATTGTACAATAATAAGAGATGATTTTCATGTATTCTGTGTTTTAGCATTTTAGTGTGATTAGTGTGGGGTACAAGGTGGATTTGACTGTTCTGGTACTTCATTTTCTATGTTGATACTTCCTGGAATTTCTTTTTATATTTGGTTTTAAACATAATTTTGATCAAGTGTGAAAAATTTCTGTCTGCACTATGCATCACTGCTCACCTTCCTCATAGATGTTTTTTCTTACCTATTCAGTATAAATACAAACCCTGGAAAAATGCAGGCATGGGCACGTTACCTTACACTTACACTGCATTGCTCATGCAGTAGGTGACTCAGAGTCTGACACTCAGGGACTGGCAGAAACAGACATATGCAAACCACATGGGGCTCTGTAGCCAACTACTCACTGTTCTCACTGACTAGTGTGACTTATTGCTTACTGGGGAAATATTGGGTTTACCAGGCAGTGTCTAAAGTCCTCTAATCCTTTTAGTAAAGGCTGTCAATTAGTATCAGCTGTGATGGTGTGTTTGTGATGTAGCTATCCAGTCTATTAGGAATGAGGCTGAAACCAATATATTTCACACAGAATTGCAAGCAGCTGCCATGTGATAATGTCTGATGGAGTAACTATAGGCTTGATTGGGATTTTAATTTTTGCTTGACTCCAGTGAAGACGAATAGGAGTTTTGCTGCTGACTTCAGCATGGTCCGGATGATCTATCACCCATCTCCTTCTGTCCCCTGTGATGTATCTGTGAAGAACACATGTAGGAACTAGCTTCTGATCAATGCTTTCTTCATTCCTGCAGTCAGCTTTATAACTTGCAGAGTTATCTTGTATTCAAATGACTGCTGCTTAGGTGTTCCACTGAACCAGCCCTTTGAATACTACTCACAGAGGAAACTCAGCAAAACAGTACTTGCTGATTCCTATGACACAAGAATGACTCTCTTTCAAACAGAGCAATCAAGGGGAATGGAAAGAAACTTACATAAAACTAAAGAGGTTGGTCCTACTTTGTAGCTGGTTCCATACTTTCCCTTCAGTGCAGCAGCTGCTTCCTGTGCAACTTTCATCTGGAAATGAAAACAGGAAGAGAATTGTCATCAGTGGCAGTACCTTTGCAATTATTTTGAGTGGACCAAAATTTTTGTCTCTTTAAGCTAAACATTTTCATAGGCTTTAGATTTTGATATTATTACTTCAGGTCATTGAACGAATCCATTACAAACATTTGGACATGTTCTTGATTTTCTTTTAATGCAAATTATGTTAAAAATCACTCTGCTACTAGGTAGGGATGATATTTGCTTTGTTGTAAAGCTAGAGGGCTATATTTTTGAGAATTGAGTCTATGCTGTATAACATGCTGGTACTGAAAACAGCAGTGATCAATCTCTTACTCCTGTTTTATTGCTGTAAACTCTCTATTCCACCATCTTCAGAAACTGAGCCATAGGCAAACTAAATGACTTTTCCAATGACTCATATGAGCACCAAACCCAAATCCCGCATGCTCTTGACTTGTGTTCAGCTACTGGAATCTTCATAAATACACATGTGAATGAACACAAATTAGAACACTCAGAAACCAAGGGGACAAGTAACCAAGAAGTTAGTTTTCTTCCATTCTCCTCGGAGCACATTTGGAATACCATTTCTGGACACAAACATGACAACCGTGTGTGTATAATGTGATGGCATCCTAAAGTGCAAACTCATTCTTGTATGCAGAAAAAACTTGGTGCTCTTCTCCACTTACCTTGCATTGAATTAACCCTACCTACAATAGTTCAATTTTCCTGATTTAAGATGAAGAATTAATACTTCTGAGGCAAATAAACCTTATTGGTACTACACAGAGCAGTAGTAACTCTGGGAGCCAAGCCCTTGAACACGCTCCACTCCTCTGGAGGAAAGGCAAAATAGCAAATAGACTTGCACCACATGCTACTGCCTGTACTTGCTCTCTACAAGTGTAGGAGATAAAATGTTTTGTCCTACCAGTTCTTCATGGTTACTTGAAGGTTTAGTTGTGGAACCATATGGAAGAAGGATCAACTGTCCATAGGAATGAATCGTTAAGTAGCACAAAATGTCACTTTTCTTCCTTTCAATAAACCTAGCCACAGCTCTTGTCTCAGGCTCTGATTCTGGTCCAGGTCCACAGTAGACATCACTGCTGCAGTTAAAAGAAACACCAACACCTGGAGAGGAATACAGAAAGTGAATCAAAGGAGAGACATAAAACACCAGTTCAGAGGGAGCAGGGAAAAGTACCTTGGAGTGTGCTTATGTGGGCTGGGAGACTAGACAGCTCAGTGGGACTTCAACATTATACTCTGTTGATAGCAAGTGTAATTCACTACATGACTGAAATATTTAATGCATATTTACAGGAAGGCTGCAACTAAAACCTCTGACACCACCACAGTGTACCACCTGCCAGGGAAACTTTGGAAGCTCCTTGAAATTCACAGCAAATGTAAATACTGTCTGTTAAGTGACTAACTCCTAACATTGCTGTCTAGAGCTGATGCTTGCTCCTGCAGTGAATTAGAGGTATGGTTACATAAGCAGAAATTTTCTGCTCACAAAAATAAATGTCGGTTGAAAGTCGATGACTTAGTATTTTTACAAACCAGGATTTTATTTTTATATATGTCTTGATGACAACAAGATGAGTATGTCTTTGTTATAGGACTTCATCTTATTTCAGAGACTAGTCATTGCCCTTGCTGTACATTTGTGCTGATGATCTGAAATACTTCAAACTTACTGCCCCAGGAGGAATTGAAGTTCCTGTTCAGATCTGTCCCATGGCAGGTACCATTCATATATGGAGACCGATTTTTCCTCCACAAACGATCCTAAAGAAAAGTAACTTCCATGACATAATAACAACTCAATGATCCATGTGGCCTGGTTATAACACAGTGTAAAGACTCCTTTATTTTAGACCTATGCATTCTAAGTAACTCTTTCATTGTAAGAGTACAACTCTAAGTGCAAGGTTGATAAAGCTTAGTGATAGAACAATTCATCTACTACAGCCAGGCTGTCATCTGCCACAAGCCTGCAAGCACCCTGAAATGAGCCTCCTGAGCTTTTTTGAGTACTCAGCTACTTCCATGCAGGAGCCTGGAAGCATGATGAGAATGGTTGCAGACTAACATTTTGCATTATCCTCCACATCAGAAAAGGAAGATCTAGGAGGGCACACCTGTTTCAAAACCAAATAACCCAATATTTGGCAATTCTTCTGTCCCAGGCATCTGCTACTACAAATCTTTTACAAAGTATGAATGACCTGCTTAACTTCCAGACATGTTTAACTTGATCAACCAGGCCTTGAGCTGTTACCAAGGAAGAAAGCCAGGTTCATGGCATTCACTAGGGTTTTTAGCTCTGCAATCTCAAGTGACTGCTGATTTGCCAGAAGAAACAAAACCTCTCAGTCATGAGAGGATTTGTGTGAGTAGTTCCACTGTTTTCTGTTTAAATGTATTTGCTATGGCTCTATCTAAAAGTAACGAAACATGCTGTGCGCATCGAACTTTCTGTCTAGTTTCTGGATTTTCACTACGCACTTTTTCCCAGGAATAGATGTAGCCATCAATATTAAGGACTGGCAAGACATAGAGGTCCAAATTCTGCAGAAATCTTCTTATCTTTGGGTCAGACTTGTAATTTTGAAGAATCTGAAAAGAAAAAATACAGAACACCGAGCAGAGAAATTAGTAGTAATCACTAGAAAGAGCTGGTTTAGAATTATCATCAGAGAATCACTCACTCCTGGATACCACCATGGTATCCAATATCTATTTGATTCCCATATATGTTGAGATATCTACCTATTGTCACTAACAGAGTAAAAGAATATCCAATAAGAGTGTACTTTGTATGGATACAGTCTCGCAGGTATGAAAGTTGCATGATAGTTTATCTGTGAGCCAGGTACTTTCTGTACACAGGGAACATTGCTACACCATAGTGTAGGGTTTCTTTATTTCAGGAAGACTGTGGCTTTTTGATGCAGAGAGTCTTGGTCCAAAAACCACTGTGGGAAAAGGAGAAATTGCTACCAAGTTTTGGAAGGCTTTGGAAACTGTTCAGGTGGAGGAATTGATGTGCTAACTCATATTGTCCACTAATATCATCCAAATATCTCAAACTGTGATTTGGACTTAGGTCTCCACAGCTATTTGTAGTATTTACTTATTTTGAAAATCATATTTTAACAGAAAAGCATAACTCTTGGTACCACAATAGAGAAGAGATCTGAAGTATCCAAAGTGATATGAGGTTTTTATTTTCTAAGTGGGAAAGTGAGAACTCACTTCTTTCACAAACCACTGGCAGAAGGCTGGAGAGATCCATTCTCTGGCATGAATCCCACAGTCCATCCAAATTATCTTTTTGGTTTTGTTTGATGGTTGACTGATCTGAGAGAGTGTAAAAATGATCATTTGAAAAACTGTCAAATTACAATAAAATAGCCTAACGTAGTACTGAAAGTAAAGGATGTGCCTTGATATGCCATTGAGCCATTTGAGATTATTATTATTACAGACATCATTATGACAAGATCTCCTTCTTAATAACCTCACCTCTGTAGTATCACAAGGCATGAGCTTTAAAGTGTCTGTTGAACAGGAGTGTCAATAGAACAGCTTCTTTTTCATTTGTGTTAGTAATTTACAGGGGTGGTAGTTCTTTGAGATTCCTTTTTTTAAAAAAAACCCTATTTTTTTAGAAGAGGAAGCACAAAAAGGCAGGGAATTTAATTTTACTCAGTGATAGGAACAGATTAGACAGTAACTAACCCAAACATTAAGACCATGGTTTTTAATAGTGTGTGCAATAAAAACCATTATGGAATACTCCTAGCAGAAAGGCTATATGCTGTAAAAAGTAATAAAACAACAAACCAAAACACTTTATCCTCACACACATCAGATGCCAAACTAGTTTCAGCTTGATTTGTATTTCTAAACAGGGCTTCAGTTAAATTTGTTGTTTTCACTGCATAATAGTAATAACAAGCTTATGATGAAAGAGTATATGAAAGCTAGCAAATCTTACTGTACTGTAGAGAGGTAAAACCATCTCCTGTTATTTCAGTGAATTGGGATGAGCATTACCATAGGAAATAGCTGAATCTTGTCTTCTGTGTACTGTTTTTGTTGTTGTTGTTAAGATACCTTCTATTCATTTTAATAAAGTTCCTCCCTTACCTGTAGATAATACATTGTTCGATTCTCAAATGTCTTCCCCAGGATGTGCTGAGTCACCAGCTCACTGTTGTTCTTCTGGATCTGAGTCATCCATTGGGAAATCTGAAACAGACGCAGAGAATTTTTGGTCCAAAGTGGGAGTTTTCTTCTTCTTTCCCACCTCCATTTCCAGATTAAAGCATTTTCATTTATTTAGACAAGTGACATTTTCCTCAGAGTTTGTTTCAATCTGTGATATCACACTCATGGAAGGTCTTTCACATGCCTCTGCACAAAGGTATGGTCATATCTCACAGGGTGTTAAAAGAGAGTATCAGTGCCATACAACATGGATACTCCATTCTGGATCTCATTCAGCATGCCCATCCTATTGGGCATCTTCCTGTTGAGTTCACCAGACATGAAACCACACCATCAAATCTTCAGAACAGTATTACAGTCTCTTCCCTACCAGTACTGATTTTCCACATTGAGTTCAGTAGCAACCATCCCCAGTGGGTAGCTCTAACAAAATATACATGAAGATTTACTCTGTTCTCTCACTTTTATTATGCAGCTAGGAGGAAGAATACCACCATGCTCTGCTTTTGTCTGGGTTTACTCACTAGTCTGTGAAACATAGCACCAAGAAGTCTTCACTACCTACCCTTATGACATTATTCTCTCCTGAAGAGTGAAAAACCTGTCCTTAAATTACTTCTTTCTACAGGTCTCCCACTGTTCACCTCACTGGGATTTCAGAGACCACAATAGTCACCACAGTTCAAATTTGGCTCAGCACCAAACATACTGGGGCTTAAATGAAGAAATGCAAGAGATAATGGTAAAGCATAACAGAGTAGGCAGGTAGGAAACCAATCAACTGAACCCCAGAATAGTATCTAAAAAACAGTATGGCTGCTTCACTCAGAGAATTAAATTTTGGTCAGTGAGGATTTGAGGATTTAATCAAGATCAATGACAAATCCACGTTCAATTTGACCAGACCAAGATTCTAGTCAAAGAGCGAGGACTGATTCTGCAAAGTAGAAAGCCAGAAAGAGGTCCACTGACTTCAGCTGAGCTTTCTGCAAACACCGGGTTGCCAGCTGTGGCATTTACAAAGCAGAAGTAACAAAGACTACAAGTAGACTTGGGTTCCTCTTTACCTCTTCCATTGGATGATATTTGGTGTAGACATAACCTTCTGGGACCTGTTTGTTGCTGCCGCTTTCCCATGGCATGCTCTGATCCACAAGTTCCTGCACATCAGGTATTAGGACTCTGTGGGGAGGGGAAAAGGGAAGATAGAAAAGAAACTATCATGGTAGGTACATTGCTTACATCAGCAAATGAATGGATTTAGCCTCTCCTGTTGTGGATCATCACCATCAGTATTGTGGTTACTTTCATCTAAGACAAAGTTCAAAGTCTAAGACAAAGTTCAGAGTACTGAGATTTTCACAGGGTTTTAACAATAAAGTAGCAATTTTTACCAGATTTTCTACCAAAAAGACCCCAAACTTCAACATTTTTCTTCATCACTTCTATTTCTGAGCAAAATACTACCTTTTGGGAAAAGGAGGGGAAGGAGATACACTTAAGATTAATGTTTCATTGTATTTTATTGAGATACTCTCAATTTCCAAAGACTTCACAGAATTACTCATTGCAATTTGCAAAAATCAGAACAAACTCTTATTTCATTCAAAAAGCACTTCTTTCTTTTTAGCTACAAAATTAGCTCAGAAATTAGCATACAACAGGCGAGATTCCATGTCCAAGAGAGTCAGTAAGACCTTTCCCTTGGCTTCAGGGGACTTTGGATGATAGGATGTTCTTTATCACTGCAATCAACCCCTTGTAGCACTGCTATAAACCGTGCTAATTGTAAATGCTTGCAATGAGACAGTTGTAAAGGTAGCTCAAACGTTGATCTCAAACACTGTAGGTGCTGACAGTAGCAATGCTGGAGCATTTCTGGAAACTGCACGTAAAAAAAACTTTTAAGAGTAGTCACAGCTGACTTTCACTCTGAGCTTTGATATTTATTCACATCTAAACTTCAAACTAAAATTCAGGCACTGCAAATTCCCATGAACTGAAACCACACACAGAGAATGCCTTATCAGTGCTCTGGAGAATTGAAATTCCAGAGTCTGACGCAGTCAGAATATTGATGTCCTGATTATAATTTGTCATTTATGTATCTATCATTATATACCTGTCATGTTACCTTCCTTGCATGTCACTTGCCTTCTAAAAGGTGGTTCCTGCTTTGAATCTATTATAGGAACTTTAACACTGCTGTACTCATCTTAACCCCTTTGCAATATGAAGCCAAAATTTCAGCTTGACTATTAATTACTTATCTCTTTCTTTAGAACCCTATGCAAGGTGGATACAGTCCTGAATTGGTATACCAATACAGGTTGGATGCCTCAATCCAATCCAATCCAATCCAATCCCAATACAATACAGATTGGATACCCCATTCCAAGGGAAAACAAAATTAAGCTGCTAACTGCAGTTTAGTCTTGAAATTTCCACTAGAATCAGTTGAATCCATTAGAAAATGAAGAGCTTTGCCATAAATAAGAGCTTAAGTATCTTCTGGAATGTTGTCTAAGTCCTGAATACCTAAACCTCCTGCTACATCATTCATACTGGCTCCAACCTCATATCTCTTCATCTCTGGTTGTCAGGGCATCACACTTACTAAAAGAAGTTGTCAGACAAGATGCAGGATGTCAAGATTAGTTTTAACTCAAAACAGCTTTGAGGTGGCACCAATCTTCCTTAAACTTACCTTTGATTGGTAAATGTCAGAGTATGTCCATAGGCTATTTCTCATCAGCCCTGAATGACTACAAGATTTTTTATATTAAATATAGCTAGCTGCTGGTTACCTGAAATCAGTTCCAAATGGGAACAGGACTATGTGAGGAATGGATCTTATTTAATCCCATTTGGCTTTATAAATACTCTTTGTATCTGGATTAGATCTTCTGGTTGAAAGTAGAAGTGTGACAGTTAGTGAAGAGATGTGGCTGGGTAGGTGTGACAAAGCACTGTGAACCATTTGCAGGCTGTGGCTTCCAGTTGTGTGCACAGTGGAGATCTGCCACTAGGACCTTTGTCCCAAGCTGGGATGTCTGTGTTTGGCTGAATGGTGCCAGGAAATTCTCACCAGCCTGGTGGTGGGATAGGGGTAGGAAACTGCATTTTTTAAGAGACTGGCAGAATATTGACTTTGAAAGGTTCTTCTCCAAATCGGAGGAGCAACAAAAGATAGGAAGGGGAAAAGAAGAGCAAGACTGCTGTGCAGTGACACCAATGAAACCTTTGGGCTCTCCAAAATAGGGAGGACTCTGCATTCAAATATCCATGCTTTCCAAGAGCAAAGCATGCTCCTATAAACAGTGGTTGTAGCAGGTTTGGCTTCCTGACTAGACTAAAAATCCAAATGCCATCCTCTGTCACTGAGAAGGCAACAGCAGGAAACAAGACAGATTGGGCTGTCTCAGGCCCCAGCTCCAGACACACTGTCCAGGCTAGCTGGAAGGTAAAAAAATAGGGCATAGGGAAATGTGCTTTTAGAACTCAAAGGTTGTTAGGAGAATTTCTGATTGCTAACGGAAGTTGAAGATGGTTAGAGGTGGAGAACAATGATTAAGGCATTTTATGATTGATATGTAGGTAGCCAGTTGTGTTGTGTGTAAGATGGACTAGCAATTGACTTTTTGTTATTGGCTCAAGTACACAGATCTGAGGATGTGGAAGGCATGTGCAAGGTATAGTGGTAAACACAAACCCGTTTGATAAGTGGTTAAGATCAGTGTCTGGGAGGTTGTCACCTTGGTTGTTATCTGTAGTTAAAGAAGTACTAAGGATGCTTGGAATAGTTTTACTGATAGTTGTAATGGTTAGATTAGCATATAGCTGCATTGTTAAGAATGTATCCAAAATGACACATGGAGCCTTGCTCGCACAAAATGAAAAAGGGGGAATTGTTGAAGAATGGCTAAGGGAACAGGGGCACAGCCCCAAAAGAGCATTGTGCAAGCAAGAGTCAAGCAAAGGCCTATGGGAGCTTTGAGCATATAACTACAAAGTAGGCCTCAGGAATTTAACTTTCTCAGCATTCGAATTTAGCTTCTCAGCACAATGTTGCAAGCCCAAGGACAGGCTATCCGGGGAACAAAGAAGAATTCTCCAGAGAAGACTTCTTCACAGCTGCAACCGCAAGCAGAAAAAGTATATAAACGTAACTTTTAGAGCTTAGGTAATGCTCTTAGGTAACGCTAAAGGACGAATATGAGCATTTATCACGTACTGTGTAAAGAAGAACCGAGCTAACAATAAAGTTGGAGCTTGCTTTATCACTCATACTGAGTTGGCTGCTTGCTTCCCTGTGCAAATTTCCCCCGCAAAAGGTTTATGTAACATCTATGCATTTGGCTGGTAAGGTCAGGTGGAGGCATTTGGAACAAAGGTTGGGTCCTTCTGCCAGAACTTGCTGTTAATCATTGGAAAGGGATGGGCCCTTTTGTGATAAGCAAGGAAGATTGTTAGATAAAGCCTTTCCCCATTAGGATAATTCTATGATATTAGAGGTAGTACCTGTAAGAGACCATATGCTGATCTAAGTCGTTTTTCACCTCCCGTACTAGGGGGCCCGGGACCCTTATGTTCAGTTCTTCTCCAGCCCTGATTTCTTCTGGCAGCAGGGGCTTCCACAAATCCAGCTGTGCAGAGAAAAGAAGAAATGCACAAATGAAGCTTTGTTTTCAGAATGAGAAAATATATTTAAGACAGAGTAGCTGCATATCACTAAATGAAAGAAGTTTTCCTTCAGATTCTCCCCTTAACTCTCCAGCACAGGCTTAGTGTTTCTATGACTTAGACACCACTGATAAGGAGCAGCACCTTCACAGAGCCATGCAAGGAAACTAACTTCTTCACATAAACTCCTTCAAGTAGTAGAAGGGCAATACCACCCTACACTAAGACAAAAAAAAAAGTTAGGTAAAGCTTTTTCAAGTTTACTTTAACTCCTGTCCAAAGTTACATGCATGTCTGTTTTACAACCCAAGACCCTGCTCTGCTTTTTAGACATGTGTGGCTATTCCTACTCACCTGTAAAGTATTGCAAAGAAGTTGAAGATGCTGGACTTGCTGAAATGTTTCTGGCACAGTATATAAAACCTGATCCCTGGAAATTCAACAGAGAAACAAAATAATTTTTAATATTTGTTAAAGTATCCATGACTTCATAAGTCAAAAGGAGATATTTTGTTACTTAGAAGGAAGACAAAGCATGTAACTGAGCACTGTTCCAGCAAAAATGTGTCTGAGTGATGAATTCCTGGAATGTTTTAGCTGCAAATAGGACTAAGTGATGGGAGTTTTCTGTTGCTAGAACATTAACCACTCTGTTTCCTTGCCAGTGGCAATCCATTATTCACCATACCAGCTTCACTGAAGCAAACTGTTTGCATGAGTCCTGATGTGTATTTCTGTCATTGCAGGACAAGGCCTTAAACAAGATAACTGGTAATACATGATAAACTATTTATTTGTTAAGATACCACTTTTTTTCCCCCCCACATTTGGGAATTATTCAATTATTCCAGATTGACTTGGTGCTTGGCTGATCTATTTCAACATGCAAAAACATTAGATAGTCATGATAAATGAACATTCCTAAGAGCTTGAGATGTCCACAAATTGCTTGGCATGAGAATAGCAAATTTATTGCTCAAATAGTCAATATTGTGTTCTCCAGAATTGCATATTCTTACTCAATTCACAGGAAATTAAAATTTCTAGTACAGGATCTATAATTTTCTTTCTAGAAAAGGCACACAGATCCAGTGTCTTAGTACATATTTTCAAGAGGCCTCATGAAACTGTCATTCACTACTGGCTCAACCTGATAAAAATATTGAATGTTTACAAAGAACCAATTAAAATGTTTGGAAATGTAGAAAAAACAAATCTGTATATTCTATTTTAAAAGTCCTTGTAATTATTTTTCTACATTTTTTTTCAGTGTTTGTTCAGATCATCTTTTCAGGACTGACAGCAAGTGTGATGTTCCTAATGAAAGGGTTTCACAGTGAGCAGTGGATGTTGATGACTACATTGCCTTACTCAAAGGTGAGATAGCAATTATCCACTACTGATGTGATAGAATGGGGAACCCTAGAATTTTTTTCTCTTTGTTAACAACCAACAACTACTCCTTCACTGTCTCCTTCAGTGACTTCAATGGGCCTTGGAGCCTTTACAGGACAAGTACAAAAATAGAACATTTTACATTTTAAAGCTTTTATAACAGAAATTCCTGTTGCAACAGCCTTGTGTGACTTTACATTAAAGTTATGGTCATTACAGTTATCAATATAACATTTCCATCACCTGAACTGCAACTGTCATCATTTATGCTTCCATTCAGAAATGTACAATTATCAGCTTAGTATACATGGAAATAGAATTCACCATTCACGTTATTCCCATAAAAATAGGAGGATTTGCGTGTGTCGTGGTTTAACCCCAGCCAGCAGCCAAGAACCACGCAGCCACTCACACACTCCCCCACCAACGGGATGGGGGAGAGAATCTGAAGGGTTAAAGCTAAAAAAACTCTTGGGTTGAGACAAAAACAGTTTAATAGAGAAAGCAAGAGCTG